ATATATATATATAGTATTCCAATTTTCTAAAACACTGAATCTTCGTGTCATAGCTTTACGCAACAAATATCAAATCGGACAGAAACAAATGCTTAAAACATGTGATTCCCGATGTGAGTTTTATAATAACGATTTTTCATTATTATACATTTTTAACAAAGTTTATTTATATAGGAACAATTGACAGAAAATGTCGTCTCAAGGCAACATTCAATTTCTACACAGAAATGCAGTCAATACAGTCAATCCAAGCCATTCAAGTTAAATATTTTTAACAAATGCTGAAATAAACCAAATTTTCGATGATTTTCGAACTTGGTGACATGCATATGAAAACAGAAGCGTGCATCTGATCAGTTTCTTTTTTGATATAGGCAGAACTGACGCAGAACTGCAGCCTTACTAAACACTGTGATTGCCGCTCGCCTCTCTTGCTCCTCTGTGGTGCTAGGGTGACGCATGACGCAATGGAGGCGCGGCGATCTTCTCCAATAAATTCTCAGCCAGCAGCCCGTCTCAGCTTCAGACAGAGCGCATTCAGACCTTTCCCATCACTGCTTGGATTTAAAACGAACCCCACACCGACGAGGCACCGCTGAAGACGGGGTGCAACTTGCTGCAGCTATGATTAAGAAAATGTCTCCATCAGAGAATGACTTCGACATTCCTGCCAAGAATTGCCACAGGATGGTGATTCTTGGCTCCACTAAAGTTGGGAAGACGGCCATTATCTCCAGGTTTCTCAACGAGAGGTTTGATGACCAGTACACACCGACTATTGAAGACTTTCATAGAAAGTTCTACAGCATCAGAGGGGACGTTTACCAGCTGGACATCCTGGACACATCTGGAAACCACCCGTTCCCTGCAATGAGGAGACTTTCGATTCTCACTGGTGAGTTTAGATTTAAATCAAAAATCCAAATTGCGCTGTTCGGTGGGTTCAGATCTAATTTTGTGAACTCTTCTTGATAGTTAAACGTGTTCCTTTGTGTTTTTTGTTTGTTTTTACAGGTGATGTTTTTATCCTGGTGTTCAGTCTGGACAACAGAGACTCGTTCCAAGAGGTGCAGCGTCTGAAACGCCAAATACACGAAACCAAGTCCTGTCTCCGCAACAAAACTAAGGAGAAAGTGGACGTCCCGCTCGTTATCTGCGGCAACAAGTGCGACCGGGACTTTTACAGAGAAGTGCAGGACGAAGAGATCGAGAAGCTGGTCGGGGGGGACGAGCACTGTGCCTACTTTGAGATCTCTGCAAAAAAGAACACCAACGTCGACCAGATGTTTCAGACGCTCTTTACCATGGCCAAGTTGCCCAACGAGATGAGCCCCGACCGACACTGCAAGGTTTCCCTGCAGTACTGCGACGTTTTGCACAGAAAGTCATTCAGGAATAAGAGATGCAAGGACGGGAACGCATACGGAATAGTGGCGCCGTTTGCGCGCAGACCAAGCGTGCACAGTGACTTAATGTACATCAAAGAGAAAGCAATAGGTGGCAGCCAGGCCAAAGAGAAAGGCTGCGTCATTTGCTGACGCCTTTACCACACAGACTGCTCAAAACTTTTGCAGCCAAATAAATAAATTTTAAAAAAAAAATCAGCCGGGCTGCAGAAAACACGAGACCAAACAGAAAAAATAAAAACTGTAGACTGCTTGATCCAAATAGAGGTCAAGACGTGGTTTAGTAGATGCTCTGGAAATGCTGTAAAATGTGACTGCGTTGTCTCTCCAAGAGCAGCATTGAAGGGAAGAAATGTTTACATTTTGCCACCGTTCTCACGTAGAATGGCACTTTGAATGTTTGTTTTGCAGAATGAACAAAATGAATACACATGTATTTATCATGTCCTTGTCAACATTTTTTTGGATAAGGAGAAAATAAAACTCTTGATACTTTTTTAGCCTCTTGTTTCTCTTGTGATTAATTTCATGCACAGCACACTATATTGTATACTATTTCACCCCCTTCTTTCCAATTTTTTTTTTTTTTTGTAAAAGAATACTCTTCAATATTAAGATTACAATATGTTAAAGACAAAATTTCTATTTCTATAAGAACAGGTTCACTGCCTTCCTTAAGATTTAGGCACTTTAATTTTGTGTCATCGGTGGATTTGTTCAAAATAAACACAGTAACTCATAAGTGGTAGTATTTAATAACAATGTCTAGATAAGGTTTTCAAAATTGTTTTAATACAAAAAAAAAAAAAAAAAACAAGATAGGAAAATCCAAACAAGATCTACAGAATCAAACACATCCAAAAATAATAAAATAACTAATGATCCTCAAAATTGCCGTGCATTGCAGGAAAAAAAAAAAATCCCGTGTGTGGCCATGTCCTTGACCAGCATGAGTTTCAATTTATTTTTCCCCTCCAGTTTGTGAAGTCCAGTCCAACCCAACTAGTGTTATGATGCTTTGGGGACATCAAACATGCATAGGCTTTTGTATTTCTGAAGCAGTTGGTTCTTGGTGCGCACCTGCTCTCTCAGAGTGGCCAGCTGATGCTGCTGCTCCTGTGGGCTGCTGTCTATCCCGGGCATGTTGGAGATTTGCTCCCTAGCTTTCTGGATCTTTGTTTTCAGCTTCATCAGCTCTTGATGAACATCCTGGCCATCCTTGTCCTTGTCCATGCTTGAAAAGACAAAGACAAAAGTCAAATGAAACAAAACCTAAACATCAATCTGTTACATTTTCAACCCGAGAGCTTCCTAAAAGAGTAACATTTAAACATCTGTCCACAAATCTCAAGGATAAAACCGGACTACGTCGGGCTTAAAAATGAAAATGATGTTGAAATAGCATGGATGCCTAAGACTTGCTAAATTCCTGAAACACTTAAAGGCATTACCACAAAATATGAGAGTTGTCTGAATCTTTTATACACTGAAGGAAATTGTATTTTCTCATTTATTTTTTTAACTGCTGGCAAAATAAAAATGGATTTAAGGGCAAACAAAGTTACACTCCAACAAATACAAGTGCAATTAAAAGCTACTGCAACTGTTTAACATATAAATGTGTCTAAACTGTTTGAATTCATTTTATAAGCTTGATGGAAAAAGACATCCGATTGGTCAACCAATTAGACCTCACTGTCTTTCTCCACCCTGGCTGAGTCTTTTGGGCATTGAATCTTGATCTGAATAAAATTACAGCCTTGTCAGTTTCATCCTTTTGGTTTTGTAAATTCATAATCTACAATAAGTCTGGAACCATTAGTAACACTGTGATCTTTAATTAAGAAACAGAATATATATCATTAGACTTATTTTGATGGCAGTAAACAGATTGTTAAATGGATCGTGCTCTAAATAGCATGATCCATCACGTAATATATTACGTGATGTTTTCTACTTAATACGTCACGCACCAGGTATTTTTGAGTCTTTAAAATGTTGACAAAGTTGACAGAAAACTGAATTACTGTGCAACAGATGTGCTTACGAGCCAAAAGAGCAGCTGTAGTCACAAATTATATATATATAACTTGAGATGATTCAACTGAGCTGTGCTTGCAGTAAGGGTAATTTTATTTATATAGTACATTTTCGGCGACAAGGCAATAAAAAGTAGAAACAAAGCAGGAAACCATTAACGCAGTTAAACATTTGATTGTACATCGTAAATCTTAATATCTCCGGAGCATTCCAAAAGTTTGTTTTCCAGCGCAGTACTAATGATATTATATTGAACCTTACAAGTCGCGCTTCCCACTGTCACTCTCCCACTGTACTTTGTATATCTAAGCGATGATGACAAATAAACAAGTGCTCCAAAATTAGCCAGACATATGCAAATCTAAACGAGCTTTATGATCTTACACAGGTCCAAAATCGCGTCTGTGGCTCAATGATACTTGCTACGTTACATTTCCAGCTGAGAGGTAGTTATGCTAGCTTTAGCTAATAGGTCATCAGTATCCTCTGTAACGTCACGAAAACCATTTCTTTCAGACGGAGTGAAGAATGAAGGAGTACACAAGTGATTATATACATACATAGCAAGCACATTCCCAATGTAGCATTGCTCTTACCATTTGATAACATCGTGAACTAAGGGCAAAAGAGAGCAGTCCTCGCTGTCTTTCTCTACCCTCGGTTGAGACACCGCCATCGTTCGCTGCGCAGCTTTTTCTCGTCACATTACAGCCTGCTGACATCGGAGACGGGAAATCCGGCTCTTTTCTAGGATCCAAGTCGTTTGGCTCAGTTTACAAATGAATTGATTCTTTCGGTTCTCAAACGGATTTTCCTTTTATTGTTTTTTTGAGAATGCTTAAAAATGTTTTATATTTTTATAACATAATTTTCGACATATTTTCATATTAAATGAGTGTATATACAAACTGTCACATTTGATTTCACCAACCCTCCAAATGAAACTCTGTTTTCGTTCCACACAAACGCCAACATTTTTTAAACCTCATTTTCTGATCTCATTATATCATTGCACCTGACGGACTATTAATATCATTAATGAAAGCCTTAAACCAATATCAAGCAATGCGTAAGAAAGAACATCATACAACATTAGGTGGAAAAAAAAAAAAAGTGCAGCCAGCCATATGCGTTGGTTCGGTCATGAACGACACACCACTAGATGAAATAACTACTTACAGTTCACCAATAATCTCATGAATAATCTGACCCAGAAAAAAAAAAAAAAAAAAAAAAAACAAATTAATTCACCATCAATGTATATATTAGTATATTAATATAATTGCAACAGTTCCAATGTCACAAAGTGGATTGCAAGACAGATTTAAATAGCTCAATTTATGTTACACATCAAAAACTATTAGACTGTAAAAATATGTGCCTGTAAATGATTTCTTAAACATACTTAAGTAGAATGGTGTCCTTTGTTTTGATTTTATTTCCAAACGTAATGATCAGGGGGAGGGCAAATTACAACTAGTGTTCTCACTTTTTGTGTGTTCCACATACTTTTCTTAGAGGTGACATAAAAAGTAACATTTTTTTCCAGCTGTTTGCAAAAAAGTCTCAAATATAATGTTTTGTGCTAAGCAATTCACAACTTTACAAAAAGTCAGATTTAAATAGAAGCAAAAATATCTTCTCTTTGCTCTGTGGAAACATACAAACTTTCAAATTTCAAACATCGCTAAATGAAAACAGAACATCAGATAGAAGTGGTAGTATAATCAAAAAATGATAAAAAAATGCTCTAGTTCACAGGTGTCAAACTCCAGTCCTGGAGGGCCACTGCCCTGCAAACGTTTAGATTTGCCTCTGCTGCACCACACCTGAATAGAATAATTAGGTCATTAGCAAGGCTCTGGAGAATTTATCTACACAAGGAGGTAATTAAGCCATTTCATTCCAGCGTTTTTTGTAGCTGTGGCACATCTAAAAACTGCAGGACAGCGGCCCTTGAGGACTAGAGTTTGACACCGCTGCTCTAGTTAGTTTGTAAGGCATTTATCAGAATTAAAAAGTAAATAAACCTATGATTAATTTTAAACTGCCATTTGGATTTTTCCACAAGTTATTCTCCTTTTGAACAAAAAGCCCATATATCACCTCAAAAAGCCCATTTATCACCTCAAGTAAATAGGCCAACAACTGTCTTAATATTGCACTTTGAAGGAGAAGGGGAACTCCACAGCCCCATATTTTGCTCCCTGGCAACTTTAAGAACATTGACCTAAAGCCACTATGTTTACATGTCTGGCACATGACTCACATACAGAGTCTAACAAGGGAGTCTATGTAAACATTAGCACATGTTAAAAGGGCAAATCTAGTCTATCAGGTGGCACTATGTTGCAAAATATGCCTATTCTACAGACAATTGATGTGATTTATTTAGGTCATGCTTAAGTTTTTTTTACTTGGTTTCTCATCTGTTTTAAATCATCATTTTGTATTTATCCTAATTATCTCTGATCTCAAACTTAAAAAAAGAGGTATGCTTCCTGTTTACTATGATGTTTTCAATATGACATTCATACCACAAGGTGCAGCTGAAGCAGATTATTTCAGGAAGCAGTGATTCTGTAAAGACTGTAAGCTCTGAGCTCTGATTAAATCCCGAAATAGGTACACATGAGATCTCTAATGGCATTAGGAAGAGATTTTTATTTATTTATTTATTCATCATCAATCAACACATTCTGTTCATATCCATTCACTCCCTCCAGGTCTCATTTTTACTTCCACCAAACTAGGCTCATCTCAAGAAACAATATGTGGAGGAGGAATTTATATTTTTTTGTTAAAATCTTAGTGTGCCAGGTTTTGGTTTTATAAGTATTGGATTAGAAGGAGCTGAGTAAATATACCCTCCACACTTTTCAGTTTTTTCCTTGCCAAAACTTTGTATTCTTTTCAATTACACACTACTTTTTCTTGGTTATTCTGTAAAATTTGAGACATATATTTAAAAAACAAAGTGACAGAAATTCACTTGAATCAATGCATATTGAATGCATATGAATGCATATTGGCATGATTTATGACAAAGTTATGGTGAAATGCATATTTAAAATCCCTTTTAAAAATTATACTGTCTATGGTTGTTTGTGGTTCATGTTTTGGCCCCTGACAGAATTTCCCACATTTGAGACAAAGTGAAGCATCTTTCTGGAAAATGTCTCACGTGCAGCTCAGAGAAGGCCTTATGACTATCGGGGGAGTTTTGGATAACTTTTTGGCCTGGGTGACATTGGGAGACTTCCGCTTGAACCCATCCATAGCACTCCCCAAGTGACTGGGCTTGCCCTGCCCACCCCTTGTAATGACGTGAAAGAGCAGCTGACAGTTTCCAACAGATGGGTCATATCCCAGCATCTCTGGCTGACGGCCAGCAATATGCAGATGTCCTGTCCGACGATATGCTGGCTAATCTTAGAGTGCTTCTTGATATGAAAGATGCGGCCAATCACTGACGTTATACGCTATTAAAATCAGTGTTTAGATGTAGTTTTCGGGACTATTTCAATGAAATGCATCCT